TCCTGCTGATAAGGAGGTAACGAAGGGCAAAACCCCCTGGGTTTCATCGTAGTCATGGGCCTCTGAAGCGCTCTGCCGAGGGAGTTGCTTTTGTGTAGGCAGATGGAACAGGTTGAGAGGTTTTCTGTGCCTCCTGGTTGGCCTCACAGTGTGAGGGGGGTCATGATGCTCTTCCTAAAAGAGACGAGAAGGGAGAGTCAGGGCCAAGAGGCGACACATCAGAGTGGTGTAACTAAAACCCACCACGGTGCAGAGCTCGTTGCACTGTCGTACCTGGGAAAAACTTGGAACTGTCACAGAGAGAGAGAACAGAATACCTTGGGGAGCAAAGGGGGGACAATCCTGCTGCGAGGGACTGCAGTGATTAATGAGAAAAGATATCACAGGGATGCAGGGAGGGCAGCACTGTGCTCGTGCTAGCAGCTCTGAGATGCCCATGTGGGGCTGCGGGGCAGGGAGTGCCTTGAGGAGCTGTTTGCTTCACAGACCTCCTTCTCTGTCTCTTCTAGATCTATCCTATGTGTCTTTTGAGGAACTACTGCAGATGCAGAACGGAATGGGAATGAGAGCCCATCAGGGGACTGTTGGAAAGAAGACTGCACATCCTGCCAAGCCCAAGATAAAGCAGCAGCAAAGCAAAAAGGGGTAAATGTGCTCCGTGGTCAGCAAAAACGTGCCTCTGCTCTCTGCTGTGTACTCCAGAAGCTGTGTTGTGAGCTCCTCGCGGTGTTGCCTTTGCCTTGGAGCTCCTTTAGAGCTCCTTCAATGTGCCACGCAACGATGCTTTTTACCAGCATGTCTCATTTGGGAACAGCCTCTTGCTGTTTCAGAGTTCCCAATATCCTGCACAGTGTTCAATTGCCCTGGGGTATTTTATGGTTAAAAATAGTGTCTCATTCTTTTATACCCCGTGCTTTTAATGCATGGCATAGGGCACTTCACATTCTACCAGACTATTTAGAAGAGCTTTACTTGAACCCTCTGGACCCTGAACCTAGTTATTCTGCCATCTATTGAACCCCTTCCAGATAATCAGCATCTCTGCCCAACTGGAGCTGCAGGGTGGGCCCAGGTGTTCAGGAGTTTCATTTCAGATAGCTGTTTCTCAGTCTTCAGTCATATTCAAGTGATCTGAAGGGACTTCCTCTGCTTCACTGGCACCACCTAACCTCTTTCTGAATCTCTGCTGGATACGTGTTCCTTCTGCTTTAAACAGTTGCTCAGAAAAATGTTTCTGCTTTGTTTTTTACCCAAGGATGCGTGGAGAGTGCAGCATCCTCACACGGTGTCGCTCTTCCTGCCACAGTGGGTTTGCCTGATCATCTGTATTTAATTCCCCTAATCCTTTAAGCGATGCATCACTGGAAATCCCAGGTGCTGCCTTCCTTATGTTTTTATTATGGAAGTGAATTTCTTAAAGACGTTGGGGAAATCCCAGGGAACTTGGCTGTTTTCAGTGATGCTTTATAAAACTGATTCAAGACCACCTCAGAGAGATGTAGCCAATGTAGCCTATTGAAATACAAATAGGTATAATGCTAGTTCTCTCAGTGTGTGATTCACAGCTTTTTTCGTGCTTCTGCTAATTTATTTGAGATACTGATGACTCATAGGACATAGCATGGGGGAAAAGAAATACCCTCTTTTGCCGCCTGGTGCCATCTTCTTTACACACCCAAAACATCAAGCTGCAAAGGCCCCTGTCACACATGTTCTCTCTTTCAGGCCTGTGGAGATGTCTGCCAAGAAACCGGTGCCTTTTCTGCGACGAGTGGTCCCTGTTACAAAGAAGGTGGGTGATGCCCCCTCCCTGGGTGGGAGCTCCCTTCCCTGGGGACGCTGAGCGTCACGTTCAGCACAGAGATGGTAACGGGGCTGCCGAGGGCGGCAGAGCCCTGGCTGCTCCCGGGTGGCAAGGCCTGTATCCGACCAAGGCAGCGCAGGGAGCCGCACGTCTCTGGGGAGGACAAGAGCCTGGGCACAGAAAGGCTGCTCTCTCTAACCTGCTCTCCTGCCCAACACAAAACTCA